GAAAGAGTTGCTGCATAGATCAAGATGTGAAGACAGATTAAAATCAGTCTTCAAGTGAGAGATTGTCAAGATTGGTGACTATTTTTTTGTCAACAAATATAGCCACCGAAAGCAGGGAAGCAAGGGTCAAAAAAGGAAGGAAAAAAGGAAGAGGGGATGATTGACAGTCCACAATTTGTGGCTTGATTTGTGTGCATGGAGGCTATAAAACCCCCTGCTCTCCCTTTAATTTGCATCTTCATCTGCTGAGTATATTCAATCCTTCTAAGTGTTTTTGAGAAGAGAGACAAAATTAGAGAGTGATTTTGTGAGGAAAATTTCTAGAGATATTTTTCTTGTGAGTTGTGTGTAAAAACACTTGTAAATTTTCTCCCCTTAGCGAAAGATCAGCAGCAGCCCGTGCACGTAGGTAATTTTATGCCAAACCACGTTAAATTTGTGTGCGTTGTTATTCCGCTTTATTCTTTCACTTTCCTGTAAATCTGGTGATAGGGAAATCTTGTGTCGTACAATTTTTTCCCTAACAACTTGAATGCTGACTGAGTGAATATTATGTTCTGTGGAAAGAAATTTGGATTCTGGTAAAATGGGTCTCTTAAAATTTTGTCGTTCTCATCCTTTTAGGTTTCTTTCTCCCATCATCAAGGTTTTGTCGAGCAATACGAATCCTATAGCAACATCCATTTATATATAACCAGAAAACAACGTGAAAAGACATTTTTAGGGTTTAGTGTAATTTACCCAAAAGATATCGGGGGTTTTCTGCAAAAGTTACTGGCGCTTTAGTATGATTTTGAATGTTCATAGGGGTTCACTACAAAATGATAAAAGTTCATGGGGTTTAGTGTAATTCACTTGTGTTATTAATCACAGACGGCACAATCTATAAGAGTTCTGAGGCCTTCATTGTAGCTACAAATGCATTCAGTCCGGATATGGCTCGGAAATGCTTACCATATCCATATTCGCTTACCCATCTCGGATACGAATACATATACAGATATACCTCCATAAGGAAAATTCATATCCATATCTGTCAAAATCGGATACTGTTACAGATATAGATGTGGATATATAAACTGATATGCATGCAGATATGTTTGGGTGGAAAATTGATTTCGTTGATGAGTCCATTACACCTTCAAACACTTACAATAAACTCAAACAAAAAAAAAATAGCCTTTTTATAAGACTTTAAATCAAAAATTACAATTTTCTCTCAAACTACACACAATAGATGTTTATCGCCTATTGCTTGTGCGGGATCGTTGCCGGTGCCGGGGTTTATCCGTGGACCGCCTACGGATCAGATCCGGTGAGCAGAAGTTTGGATAATTAATGCTTTCGCTTCACGAAGGAAGTGATTGTAATAGCGACGATTTTGAATAAGCAAAATCACGGCTCTTCTCGAGATTTAAGACTAAGCTTAAATCCGGAGGAATGAGGAAGGAATCTCAGATCTCTCGAACCCTTGCCTTGTTAAAGAACTCCGCCAAGATCTGCTAACTCTCTGAAATTCGTGTTCCAATCTCCAATTTGACAGCACTTCGTCCTCTTGATCTCCAGATCCTTAAAAAATAAACACCCGAGCCCCTATTTATAGGCTTGGTTGGTGGTTTTCTTTGATCAAAACGAGGGATTCCCTCTATCTTCAGTTAGCAACTGTCTAACAACAATATCAGAGCAGTTGGAACCCTAAATCCCGAAAGAATCTATAAAAGAACCGAAAAAACCAATTCTGGCTGATTCACCGAAGATTCTGGTCGATTCACCAAGGTGGCTCGGTCATGGCCGAGCCACCAAATGGTGGTTTGGCCCGTGGCGGAGCCACTGGTCTGACCGGATCATTTTGATGCGTCCCGATCGCCAGAGGCTTTCGTGGTTTTCTTGAGTTCGGTTCGTTCCGTTGTTTGCATGTATTTCATGGTATCATTGATTTGTAAGCCGATTTGGTGGCTGGTGAATGTACGGGCCACTTGGTGGTGGCCGCTGAACACGCTGACCACTTGGTTCGCCGATTTGATGCCTGGTGAGTGTGCGGGCCACTTGGTGGTGGTCGGTGAGCACCGGGGCCACTTGGTGAATCTTCTCGATTTGAATGATGACGTTTATCGCCTCCTCTTCGTCTCGAGCTGTATACGGGAGCTTATAAGCATTTTTGGACGCCTACAAGATATAAAACAGATATGAGATAACTAGATGATATTGAGAAAAATATAGTTTATGTGATACAAAAGAGTTCATTAATATGTTCATTATAACTGAAAAACTAAGATTAGACATCTTGATCATCAAAAATAACTATAAATCCATAATCTAAGAATCAAAACTATCATAAAAGTATGACCAATATGTATTCGGATATTTCGGATATGGATACAGATATTTCACTACAAAACTATATATGTAACCATATCCTATTAATTATAGATTTGAATAACCATATCTGTATCTTAATGGATACAATTACAGATATTTCCTCGATATGGATACGGTTTAGCACCCCTAATTGTAGCACACATGACACAGTTGATACTCGACCCATCACCTCGTTTAGCAATATTGTTAACATAATAGCTTTTTTCTTTTGGGATTCGGGATCGAACGAGGGACATGGGGATGTTAATTAGCAGTATTACCATTGCCTCCTCAAACCACTTGCACTACTTTGCGTTCAACAATCGAATTAAGTTTATATTTAACTATACTAAAATTTCTTTTACAATTGAAACCCTTGAAATTTGCGTTTCTTCTTCTTTAATTTTCGTGTTTCACATGTCTTCATAAAATTTAGGTTCATCTTTGCTTTCTACTCAGGAGAGAAAGATTACTATGAGAGGCAATTTGCTACGCTCAGAGCCTTTGAGGAAGTTGACACCTTGATCGCTTCTAATAAAAATGACGAGGATCACGAAGGCGAGGAAAATCTTACGCAAGCCGAAAGTGAATTTGCAATAAAGATTTCCAACTATGCAAATATCTGTTTGTTGGTATTGAAGGTAATTATATTTTGCAATATCCTTACTACAAAACTTGAAGAAATTTAAAAAAAGAAGAAAAAATGAGGTTGTTATTTAAATTCGTTGATTTAACTGACCTTGTGACTGCCAACTGCAGATTTATGCAACGATAAAAAGTGGGTCTATTGCCATTGCTGCGTCGACATTGGATTCATTGTTGGATCTTATGGCCGGTGGCATTCTCTGGTTTACCCATTTGTCGATGAAAAATATAAACATTTACAAATACCCTATCGGCAAGCTGAGAATGCAGCCAGTGGGCATCATTGTATTTGCTGCGGTCATGGCTACTCTGGGTAAGTTTTCGTCTCTTAATCTTCGCCAATAACGTTCAGGACTTAAAACCATTGAACGTAATTCTCCCTCCTGTTCTTAGGTTTTCAGGTGCTAATCCAAGCTCTTGAACAGTTGATATCAAGAGAACCTACTGGGAAAATGTCCTTAACGCAACTGGTGTGGTTATATTCAATCATGTTGACTGCTAGTTTCGTAAAACTCGCCTTGTGGCTTTACTGCAGGACATCAGGAAACAACATCGTCCGTGCCTATGCTAAGGTTATTATTTGTAACTCCCACTTTGACCGCTTGTTACATGCTCTGTTGTGATCTTTATGTACTAGTTACACGTTTATGCTTTGATACAGGATCACTATTTCGACGTCGTAACAAATGTTGTAGGATTAGCTGCTGCAGTTCTTGGAAACAGGTTTTATTGGTGGATTGATCCCGCTGGGGCTATTGTCCTCGCAGTTTACACGATTTCAAATTGGTCTGGGACCGTATTGGAAAATGCAGGTTTGGTTTGTTAACCGTATGCTTTACTAGTAAACATCAAATTAAGATCCCCTATACTGTCACTAAATTGAACTTGCTACCCAGTACCCGCTACCCCCAAGCAAAATCTTTTTGAGCCTTTTCAGAGCTCTATCCGCAACGATAGATTTCCACTCAGGGGATCTATCTGCAGCAATAGAACTAGAAAATCTTTCAAGCGTTCTGTAGGGGTCTATATCCGTCGCAATGACCCTACCCACCCA